TAGTGGGTCTGCGCCATTGTTGATATTAATATCGGTTGTTGCTGGGTTTTTTTTCCTCCTCTGTAGTTTTACATTTATCCAAAGTTGCAAATTAGTAATAAGTCTCAAATATGCTCTAATAAGTTGTAATAAGTCAAAAATATGCTCAAATAAGTTACAATAAGTCAAAATATTGCCAAATAAGTTGTAATAAAACAAAAATATTAATGCTCAAATTAGTTTTAATAAGTCACAAAAATGCTCAAATAAGTTATAATAAGTCTCAAATGGGCTCAAACAGTTTCTTATCAGCAGTTTGAAAATTATCGCCATCGTGCTTGTTATAATTTAGCTAAATGTCAACAATGGCGGTCTAGCTGTTAATCTTTCAATACTGACATTACCATTTAAGGATCTCATTATTGGATGGTTCAGATGTTCCAAAAAGTAGGTCAAGACTGGATGGTACAACAAGTCAACAGAAACGGGGTCATCATTTGCTACACTGACCAAGTAGTTGAACTTTTTCTTTCTTCCAATGACAGATGATCCCAAGCCAAATATTTCCAACCGTCTGCTCTTGGCGCCCCCCCCCCCTTTTTTTTTCTTTTCCCCACAGACAGCTGGCGTTGTTACTTTTAGGACCCATGTTACAAGAATGTATGAGACTTCTGTCAGAATGTAACCACCACATGTTACCAAGCGGTCTACATCCCGAGCAGACGGTTTACACAGACAACAGAGTGCTTGATGCTCGATTTGCTATCCACCCTCCAAGCACTGCAACGCTAAATCTTTGACCATTTATATGGAGTACTTAGTGGCGTACATAAGGGAAGCGAAGAGGGAGACTGACCCAAATTTTTTTTTTTTTTTTTTTTTGGGGGGGGGGGGGGGGGAATCTATACATACCTGTACATTGTAGACAATTAAAGCTATCTGTTTTTTTTTCAAAGTTGTAAAACGTGATCAGACGTGAGATCTGTGTTACAGAGATTAAACCTTTGTTATAGAGATTCAACCTTTGTTAAGGATATTCAGCCTTTGTTATAGAGATTCACCCGATTCAATCTTTGTTATAGAGATCACTGCTTTGTTATAGAGATCACTCCTTTGTTATAGGGATTCAACCTTTCTTACAGAGATTCGCCCGATTCAAGATTCAAATTTGTTATAAAGATTCAACATTCGTTATAGAGATTCACCGAATGACTCTCAAATCTTAAGGCGGTGGTACTTGTCTAGAGGTGTCGAGAGTTCCACTGCAGCGTTATCCGTGAAAACAAAACAAAAATGGAGGTGGAAAAATAATTTATTTACCTCCCTTGGTTTTACCAGTAATCTCCCCTTTCTCACCCTGGTATCCAAATTAAAACAGGGAAGAAAAACAAGGCTTCAGTGGGGCTTGCGTCACCTGATGACGCCTGTATCAACTGGGTGATGTATCACACGGGAAATTGCTCTTCTGCTGGAATGCATCATCTCATTTGAGGGTTTCTTTCCAGGGGCGTACACTGATATTTTTAATCATAAGAATTTGGCAAATGTTGAAGAAAAAAAAAGATCAAATTGATAATGACCGCATTAGTTTACTGGTAGACAAAGACCACCCCATCCCTAAATAGATGGATCTGTTGATTTCTACCTGGGTATCGTTTTATAGACAGGGTATCGCTTTATGTGTGGTTATCCTTTTAATTAGTGAGTCTCGTTTTGAGTTTTATTACGATTTTATTATTGAGTATCGCTTTTTTTTTTTGGTGTTTTTTTTTCTGTTACGGGGCATCGTATTATTCCTGGCATCTGTTTTTATTCATACGTCTCTCATCATTGGTGGGTATCATTTTATTTTAGGTATCTGTTGATTTCTTCCTGGGTATCGTTTTATAGACAGGGTATCGCTTTATGTGTTGTTATCCTTTTAATTAGTGAGTCTTGTTTTGAGTTTTATTACGATTTTATTATTGAGTATCGCTTTTTTTTTTTGGTGTTTTTTTTTTCTGTTACGGGGCATCGTATTATTCCTGGCATCTGTTTTTATTCATACGTCTCTCATCATTGGTGGGTATCATTTTATTTTAGGTATCGTTTTAAAGGGAGTATCGTTTTATCCGGACGGTACCCTGAGAACAGATGTTATAAGCAACATGTACACCAGATTTTTTTTTTTACCTGTAACCTTGAAATGAAAACAACGAAAGGTGTGAAAAGAAAATCTACGTTTTTGGCAGACGTGGCCCGAGATTAGTCAGTCTTCATTCGTTGGCGCGAGAGTTACAAAAAGAAATAAGAAAAAATTTTACCGGGCATGTTAGAATTTAGAACGGCTGCAAAAAAAAAAAAATTTTGAAAATTTCGGAATTTATATAAATGGTTTTATTGCATGCATAAAATGGTAAAAAGAAAGAAGAAGAGAAAATGTCTTTTTAAAAAAAAATATTTGTTTCCCGATATCTGAGTGGATGAAGAGGTATACATGGGCGAAATAGGGGGAGACGAGACGAAACAAAAAAAATTATTGAGGGGGAAAATGTTTAAGCTTTTGAGTGCAGATATGTAACAAGACCGTATCCGGAAATTTGTTTGAAAGAGATTTCGTCGACGGAAAATTGATCAACGGAAATTAATGGAACGGAAATTTGGTAGAATACATTTTTGTGTTCAGTTCACACGTTAACATTTTGCGTCCAATTTCTTTTTGAGCGCATTATTTTGTTTTACTATATAGTACTGGGCGCTCAAAAAGAAATTTTGTACATTAGATACAGACATTAATACAGTAGCATTTTATAACCCTTGCATTGAGTTAAATTCATTTAAAGACAATAAGGATCATTAACAAAAGAAGTGAAAGTACCGTACACATCAAAATGACTGTAGCCATCTTATGTTACTGTATTATATAGCCGACTTACTTACTTGAACGGTTTAGTTTTAACCTCGAAATTGTCTGCAACCACTAAAATGACCATAACTATCCAATCTACGATAACGTCTAATTAACAACAGCCGTCTAATTTGCCATGACCATCTGGTTGACAAATCCCCGTGAACTTACTGTGGCCTTTAAAAAAACGTATTGGAAACCTTCTCATTTAATTGACCGACGACGATCTGTAAAGTTGTGCTCCATTACTTCTCCGTGTCTTTTCTACACACAGCTGCGACCTTAAAACTGGGCTTGCTTTAAACTGATCCATTTTATTTTGTACTCTGTTCCAGTGTCACCCGTTTCCAGGAAGCAAGCCATTCTGCAGCGCCAGAGTCTGGACAAGTACGCCAGTGTATCGGACGGCGAGAGCGACAGCGGCTGTTCGACGCTGACCGACTCCCGCCACGAGCTCGCCCCCGAACTGGAGTACAGCTGGGACTGTCCCTCGGAGCTGTCCCTCTTGGTGGAGCTGATGACGCACAGTCCTCGCAAGCACCCATGCCGTGACGTCAGCGACGCCGCCTCCGGCTCAAAATGCGCGGGTAAAAAACTGATCAAGCAGGATTTCGATTCAGAGAGTAATACGACGAGGTCGGAGGATTGTCAGGTCGTGTACGTGAGGAGAGGTGAAGAAAGAATGTTGCTGCTGTCCCCGGCGGAGGCGCCGAGATTTGTGGCGACCGGTGAGAAGAAATATGAATGTTTTGAACAGTCCGTCGCCGGCTCGTGGCCAAGGGATTACTCCGACATTTCCGGCATGATCACAACGCCGCATGATGCGACTCAGGTGCCTAGAGACGCTCAGATCTACCCTCGCTCTACGCCCGAGTTTCATCACGCAGGACTCTACGACCACGAGTCGAAGCCTTATTACGCCCAGAGAAGAATTTCGTTCGATGGAGACAGAGGCGGCGATCACAAACCCAGCCCTCCGCAGCACAGGCCAGAGTCACCCAATGAGGAGCCTATTGATTACTCTCAACTGTCCACGCGGCGCAAGGATATCGGTCGAGACGTCGAGGAGCAAACGGTGGCCCCGCAAGATCTTTCACGCCGTCCGCTGGAGCCAAGTCTCGATGAGCCGAGGGACAAAATCCAGCGAATGGCCGTAGACGCGGATCATGACGTGAAGAGGTCAGTGGCTGGCTTGAAGGCTGTCCCCAAATACGAGTTCATCCTGTCTCCCAAGATCGACGGTAACGGCAACGTCGTGTTGAGCCAGCGAGGAACCAATGATGCGTGCCCAGGGATCAAAGAATTGTCCCCGCCCCCCTTCCACGCAACCTTCCCTGGTTACGAGTACAAGAACAGCGTCGGCAACTTCAAGCAGCAGAGCTCCCCCATATCCGGATCTCCAGCGTCTCCACTCCCGGCCGCCCGTGATCCCCAACAGATGTTCGTCTCAGATGTTCCCAGTGTTAAGTTCGAGTCGTCCAGATACGCCGCAGAGGCATCGCAGGTGCCGTACCACCCCAAGCTGAAGTACCTCTTGGCGGCGTCCCAGTACGCCAAGGCCAAGGTCCACCAAGAGGAGGATGAAGATCGCAAACATGTCCCAGCTCTAGCCAGCTCATCTCCCTACACGGCGTATCAACAAAGTATGCTCTTTTCTCAGGAGCAGAATGCTCAAGACAAGCTGGCGGCCCCGACCAACGATCCCAAACACGAGGGAGTCCATTTCAAGAGTGAAAGCAGCCATTTTGAGTCGTTTCCTACGAGTGAAAAATTCCAGTCCAGCAGCGCTTTTACAGCTCATAATCTCCACAGCACAAATGTTTTTATCGTCAATACGGGACCTTCCATCAACACCGGCGATGTCGCCAAGGGCAGCAATTTAAATGAATCACATCACCAAATCATCGAAATCCACCCCATTCATATCGGCTCAGCTCCGTCCATTCAGATCTCAAGTCCCATCATCGACGGCTGCGGCGATGCACTCATCTTAGACGAGCAGTACCACGACGGGTCCGTGAGTTCATCCCCACCACCTTCAGATCAACAGCTCAGCCCGGCCAGCGCGAGGGACCAGCAGAGCGCCCTCAGCGAGCTGCTCTTCTCCTCCAACAGGAAATCCGGCGTTGACCCC